TATGATTGGCTATCTCACGCGTCACTCAAAAACGACGCACTCCTATTGGCTGAATCCCACAGATGCGATGCGAGAGATCAGCTGTGGCTCATGCGCGGACAGGCAACAAGTGGATTTCGGGATTGCGAGCACATTTTTAATACTTTAAAGTTCGCATTTTGCTTGCAAAATGGCGTATTTACACTCCTATATAGCTAAAGATAACCGTTGAGCGCTTTAAACAAGAATAAACAAACCGTTAAAGTGGCGTTCGTGTTCTGGTAGCATCGTTAACGGATTTACCGTTAAGTTTACGCAGTTTCTTACAGGTGTATACAGCATTATTACAGGTGGACTCATCATGTCCGATTCTGGTTCAGATGAGGATTTAACGCCGGAGGACAGAGGCTCCACAGAGTCCGTCCGAAAGGTAAGTTACAGTAGGTGGGTTGACCGCCCCATGATGCTCATTACTTAATATGTCACATGTTAATTTATTAAGTATTGCTTAACATTTAAAACCAACAACGCAGTAAGAAATCAAAGGCTCAAACACTTGCTGGAAAGTTCCAGGGTATTACTATAACTTATCATGACTATATTCATATAACGTTACTGTGTTTATACTGGATTTTCAATGCGCCACCAGTATGTAACCACTAAATCCTTCCTCATCATTAAACATATTTTGTTAGAATGTGAAGAAAACTACTAAATAAATGTATTACACTGAAAATACTTTGATGGATGTTTTTATAAAAACGTAAATTATATTTCAAAGTGCAAAAATCATAGTGAATTATTTACAAAGAATTTAAACGCATTATCATGGGTGACTATAAGTGTTATCATCTAGGACAGTGGTTCTCAAACTGTGGTACGTGGAGGAATTAAATATGTCATATGTACAGGCTGCATATATTTAAAAATCTATCAAAAATGATTTTATATATAAATATTATGACATAGCCTATATTTATGTGGTCCAGGCAACATTTCCAGGCTTTAATAAACAGGCTACTACATGTTAATACTTTACATTTAAGAACAGAATTTTTTTTTTAGCATTTAAAAAGAGTAACCTGTAATTTTTAACGTTTAAAAGCACACTTTAATTTAAATGTTGACGTTTTTAGTTTGTTTTTGTTATTTATTTTATTTTTAAATACAGTGTTAATATTCAAACTATTTATAACGTTTAAAGTGGCTGACAAAAATAAATAGGAATTAAAACAAAACAATAGTAGGAATTAATCTGCTTCGTTTTGGAAATGTACAGAGCTGTAGCTGCTTTACTGGGCCTACTACGCTACTTTATTTCAATACTGCTCATTATGGTGGTACTTGGAGAGACAATTTTTTTCCGAGGTGGTACTTGATGAAAAGAGTTTTGAGAACTGCTGATCTAGGAGTTGTTAAACCCTTAGTAGAGGACAAAGCTTTTAACGTTTATCTTAAATATCCTGTAGCACCCAAGGTTAAGGAAACTCATTACAGAATTTTATTCAGGATATATCCTGTAAATGAGTTTATTCAAAAAAGATTTAACTTCGACATTCACAAATTGTAGCTTCTGCTCAAATCCTCCTGAAACACTGGATCACTTATTTTTTTCTTGTGAATTTACTTTTAAATTCTGGTTCAACATCCATACTTGGCTTTCAATAAATATGATTTCAGTCCCCCCTATTGTTCTATAAGATACTTTATTTTACAAAGCTGATTTACATTTGTCTTTCTCTGATGTTGTGAACTTTATTTTACTAATGGGTAAATATCATATTCATTGTTGTTAGTGGAAAAAGTGTAGACCCTCTTTTAGATGTTTCCTTTCTGAGGTAGGGAAAGTGGCTCAAACCTTCATTTACTTCAGAAACCAAAGTAAAATAACTGAAGCTCTCTGTACTTCATTTTCACAATATGTATTGTTGTTATAATGTTTTTTTCCCTTTGATGTAGGTCTTTTGTACTGCTCCTTGCTCCAGTTGTAACAATTTTTATGTATTTTATTTATCTTAATGGTAAACATGCCTTGCAATGTTGTTTGTTCCCTGTTTTGTGATATAAACTTTTAGCAAAAAAAAAAAATAATAATAATAATAATAAAAATAATAGTAAATGTTTACATTTTTTTGTATTGTTTTTTTTTGGATTCATAGGGTTGTTGCTGTTATTAGTATGTAATGATCTTATAAATGATTAATAAACTATTTTATTATAATCTAGTTAGTTAAGGAATATCATGGTAATAGCATGTATTTACATTAGACATGGGCCGGTATAAGATTCTGATGGTATGATAACCTTGGATAAAAATAGCACTGTTTCACGGTATTGTGATTTCTGCTCTAAAATATATTCTTTTTGAAATGTCAGGGTAAGAACAGGGTTTCTGCAGGTTTCATCACGTAAAATTCAAGACTTTTTAAGACCTTTAAGACTAATACCAATTAATTTTCAGACCATCACAGGGCAAAATGCTAACAATTTTCTGTAATAGCCAGTGGAATTTTTTTTACTTGCCCAAATTAAAAAATAAAATTCAGTTATTTCATAGCCACATATTTTAAATAATGTGACAAAATAAGCAAACTGTAGTTGTATACAAATATTTTATTAGCACAACCTTTCTTTAAAAACTAGATGAACAGAACAGAACAAAACAAAATAGAACAGAACAGAACAAAATAGAATAGAAAATAACAGAATAGAATAGAACAGAACAGATCACAATAGAACATAACAGAATAGAATAGATAGAATAGAATGAAATAGAAAAGAACAGAATCGAATAAAACATAATAGAATAGAACATAGCAAAACAACAAAATAGAACAGAACAAAACAGGACAGAATAGAACATATTAGAATAGAACAGAACAGAACAGAACAGAACAACAAGATATAACAGAACAGAACAAAACAGAACAAAATAGAACAGAACAGAATGGAACAGAACAAAACAAAACAGAACATAATAGAACAGAACAAAATATAATTGAACATAACAGAATAGAACAAAACAGAACAGAACAGAGAAAAATAGAACAGAACAGAACAAAACACAATAGAACAGAACATAACAGAACAGAACAAAACAGAACAGAACAAAATAGAACAGAACCAAATAGAACAGAACAGAACAGAACAGAGAAAAATAGAACAGAACAGAACAAAACACAATAAAACAGAACATAACAGAACAGAACCGAACAAAACAGAACAGAACAAAATAGAACAGAACAGAATACAACAAAACAGAACAGAATAGAACAGAACAAAATAGAACAGAACAGAATAGAACAGAAGAAAAAAAATACAACGGTATAGATCAGAACAGAACAGAACAGAATAGAATAGAATAGAATAGAATAGAATAGAATTGCATTGATTCATTCAAATGCAGAATAAAGCAGTAAGGTAAAATGTAAACAATTCTAATGTAAAATATGATGATATATAATGTGTGTGTGTGTGTGTGTGTGTGTTTGTGTGTGTGTGTTTTAGGGATGTGATCCTCTGGTGTCGACCCAGCGCAGTAAGCTGCAGCAGCGCAGAGCCAAACTCAACCAGCAGATCAACCGAGAGCTGCTTCTGCGCAGCGGAGCTGAAAATCTCTACAGGTATCTGTGTGTGTGTGTGTGTCTGCTTATTTTACAGAATAACACACACACACTATGCAAACGACCCCGCCTGACCCACAACTAACAGGAAGTGACCCGTGACACACCTCTCTGTGTTTTGATCTGCATTTATTCTTCCATCCCAGTATGAGTCAGTTAATATTACAGCATCACCATACTGTTGCACAATAAACACAGCATTCAAAACAGAGCATAAAGCAGCGCTGTTTCTGTTCTGTAGGGATTTATAAAGGGCTACAGCATAAGTCATGAAGCAGAAAATACAAACATCAATGGACGAAAGCAGATACAAGATCTATTTGACGAAAGGAAATAACTGAAAGCTGCAAAAATAAATAAATAAACAAATAATCTCTGCCTGCCCATGACACAACTGAACGTGTAAATAAGAGAATTAAACATGTCGGTTATATATGCTGAAGCAATATATTTCAACTTTACTGCACAATATGTCTATATAGTGTTTACTAATTGGGTGCAGAATATACACTCACCGGCCACTTTATTAGGTACACCTGTCCAACTGCTTGTTATCGCACATTTCTAATCAGCCAATCACATGGCAGCTTAGTGCATTTAGGCATGTAGACATGGTCTAGATTTATAGAGAATGAAAGAGGAAATATCCAGTGAGCGGCAGTTCTGTGGGCGCAAATACCTTGTTGATGCCAGAGGTCAGAGGAGAATGGCCAGACTGGTTCCAGCTGATAGAAAGGTGACAGTAACTCAAATAAGCACTCATTACAACCGAGGTCTGCAGAAGAGCATCTCTGAACACACAACACGTCCAACCTTGAGGCTGATGGGCTACAGCAGCAGAAGACCACACCGGGTGCCGCTCCTGTCAGCTAAGAACAGGAAACTGAGGCTACAATTCACACAGACTCACCAAAACTGGACAATAGAAGATTGGAGAAACGTTGCTGCTCTGATGAGTCTCCATTTCTGCTGACACATTCAGATGCTCGGCTCACAATTTTGCATCAACAACATGAAAGCATGGATCATCCTGCCTTGTATCAGCGGTTCAGGCTGGTGGTGGTGGTGTAATGGTGTGGGGGAGATTTTCTTGGCACACTTTGGGTTCATTAGCACCAATTGAGCATCTTGTCACCACCACAGCCTACCTGAGTATTGCTGCTGACCATGTCCATCCCTTTATGAGCACATTGTCTCCATCTTTTGATGGCTACTTCCAGCAGGATAACACCATGTCAAACGTGAATCATCTCAGACATGACAATGGGTTCACTGTACTCAAATGGCCTACCTAGTCACCAGAGCTCAATCCAGTAAAGCAGCTTTGGGATGTGGTGGAATGGGAGATTGGCATCATGGATGTGCAGCTGACAAATCTGCAGCAACTGTGTGATGCTATCATGTCAATGTGGTGCAAAATATCCGAGGACTATTTCTAATACCTTGTTGAATCTCTGCCACGAAAGATGAAGGCAGTTCTGAAGGCAAAAGGGGTCCAACCAGGTACTAGTAAAGTGTACCTAATAAAGTGGCCGGTGGGTGTATGTGTGCACCTTTTGAAAGTTTTAAATTTGACTTGGTAAAACCTGCAGAAATGCTAAATGAGGGAGTAAATAAGGGGATTTTTCTTGTCTGTAATGTGATGTTTTCCTCAGGGCCAGCACTAATCAGAAGGTGAAGGAGACCGTTGCATTGGAGCTGAGTTTTGTCAACTCCAACCTTCAGCTTCTCAAAGAAGAACTGGAGGAATTGAACAGCAGTATGAACATCTACCAGACTGAGAGGTTGGTTGCACACACATTCACTTTACTGTCATTAGCCATGTTTCCATCCACCATTTTATGCAGTTTTATTTATATAAATGTGTGTTTGAGGGTGTTTGCGTCATTAATGATGGTTTGCAGCTTCACATGTCTCCAGATTTCTATTGTTGCAGATCTGAAATGTTGTTCTGCTGATTGTAAAAGGACTCAGCATAGTTATCACAGTGCTTCAGTATTCTTCTTCTTCTATTATTTCCTCCAGAACTGTCTTAAAGGGCCATGACACCCCCCATTTTTAGTTCAGGTCTAAATGTTTTCAAAAGATGCATCATGATAGGGGTGGAGCTCCGCGAGCAAAGGGCAGGAGTGGGCGTGGCCAGCAGGGGAGAAGGAGGGGAGTGAACAACTCACGTCAGTCGACTAACAAAATGAGACACAAACCGTGAGGAGACGCATGAGTTTATAGTTAACAAAGTTAAAATGCAAAGAAATAAACAGTGATTTAATGCCCTGCTACATTTGTCATTTCATAAACACAACCACAATTTATATCATTATAAAGATAATGGTGTTGATATAAACACTATAAATGAGGACTTCTCGCTCAATCCCCGGGTCTGAATGCAGACTCAGTGCTGCAGGTCTCTTGCCCTGTCTGTTTTAACCATTAGCCCTGCTGGTAATCTGGAGGATTTAGGTGAACACAGCAGCATGGCGATGTGTCTAAATGTGAACGAACTCCTGATAAAAGTCATCGTACGCCATTCTCCAATTCTCATACTGCTTTTCTGACAAAAAATACTTGCAGCACACACACAGCTTTGCTGTATCGGCCCTGACAACATCGCAGGGAAAAACATGCAACAAACCCCGTGGATCATGGAAACAAACACATGTGACCCTTCATGAACAGCTAAATACTGTGTGCTGTGGGTCTGTGTCTCACAGTTTGGCACTGGCAGGTCTGTCTTGCCTTCGGAAAGCTTGTGCTCTCATGAATAATAAAGAAGCCGGCTCTTCTTATAGGATAAAAAAACTCCATTATGAATATTAATGAGAAACTGACGTGTCATCTTTGCACTTGCAATTTTGCGCTACGTCGCCGATTTTGATCCGCCCCAAAAATAATTTTAAACCCAGAAGCTGAAATCAGCTGACAAAAGCTCAAAACTATCCAGTTTATCCCACAATTAAAGTCAACAGTTGCTAACATTGTCTTAACACACACATCTGTTAACATCTCAAAAAAAGTGCTCGAGGGTTTTGTGAACCTTTAAGCATCTGTCTGCTCTTCCAAAGAGCTTCCCACACCTCCAAAAGCCACCACATTCATTGAGGCGTAACTCAATCGAGAAGGAAAAACACCACAGTGGCTTCTAAAACTACATTTCTCTGACTGATATTCGCTCCAGTTTATCAACAAGTGTTGATTTTGTTCTCTTTTTTCCTCATTTTCATCGCTGCTTTATTCACTAATGTTATATGCCACATAAGTAGGCCCACACGGAATCTGCGCGCACAGAATTCTGCAGATTTTTAGCCCATTGTTAATTCTGTTTATTTACTTGAGTAAATGGGTAAATCTGAATTTGTTCAGTTTTTATTCATTCATTTATTAATTTTTATTTAATATGTTAAGGTTTTAGTTATGATACTCTGCTGGATACTCCCAAAATAATTCAGCAGAAATCCGCAGATTTTTACCAAAATTCTAAGCAATTCTAAGAAAATTGCAATTCTAAGAAATAGCAAAAAACGTCCGCAGATTCCGTCTGGCCCTGCACATAAGTTAACTTGGCTTTAAAGCACGAAGCAGGAATATGAATCTCGCTCTGTTAACTTGGTAAACTTGCTTGAACATAAAAATCTGAATTAATAAGCAATGAAGTTATGTAAGAAGAATTTTTTTTTAGATGCAAAGCACATTTGTAGTTTTATTTGAGACGAGCAGCTCCTGCAGCTCAAACTGTACACATTTGCAAATGTGCTATTATTTTTTAATTAATAATAATAATTCCTACCTATATTTTCCTATATTGCGGTTTATTAGACCCTCAAATCGCTTTACACAATGGGGAGAAATCTCCTCATCCAGCACCAGCGTCACACAGCGTTGTTGGGGTACGTGTGAAACAAGAAAAAATAAATGATGGCACAGCTGACGAGCGAGGTGCGTTTATTTACTGTGCAAAAGTGTCCAATCCAAAAAATCCCAAAAATAAAGTAGACAATATATATATATACAAAAAATAAACAAACAACAAAACAAAAAAATGAAGACAATAAATTGACAAAATAATTATATAGAAAATAATATCTATCCAGACTCAAAACTTTCCAACCAACCATTCGCCGCTTCTCACACCTCCAATCTCCTACGACTCCCGGCCATACCTGTCAACAATGGGATGTGAAAATAAGGGATATGCCCACCATAATAAGGGAAAAATTAAAAATGCACACATCTAATCATATAATGAAAGCATTCAACTGCTTTCTTAACTTCTTATGCTCATTTAAGACGAAATTAGTTGTGTTTGAAAAAAAAACACGACAAAAAAAAAATCTACATCTTTAGATATTATTATTATTATTTTCAATTATGTGTATATGTCTGTTAAAACGCGCACCCAAAAGCCAGACTTTCATTCCGCTTCAAATCGCGTGTACAGAATCCGTTTGGGAAACAGAATCTGTTTATCACTATAGAGCGCGTCAGCTGACAGTCATGCACCTCCATGTAACTGTTTTAAGGATTGCATATGTGAAATGGCACCTGTAATGAAAAGGAAAGGGAATTGCGCCATTTTTATATTTATTTCGAAGTGTTTTCGTGCCTAAACAAAGTGAAAGCACAAAACAGACTCACATTTAAGTGCAAGGGGCGACCCCTAGTAGTTTGGCGGTATGGGTTTCGTATAGGGAGGCTTGGCTGTTCAGAGAAAGACTGAAAATACGGGAGAAATGCGGGAAAATACCTTTACGGGATGATAGCGGGATAGAACTGTAAAATACGGGAGAATCCCAGGAAAAACAGGAGGGTTGAGCTCCTACCCCAAACTGAGTCAAGTCGCTCTCTTTATAGTGAGCGACTCCGCCAACTATGGTGAGTAGATGATATGTTTTCCCTTTTGTCAAAATGCACACTTCATTAGTATAAACATCATATGACAAAACATTAACAAATATATCTTTTCACACGTCTTTAAACCCCTTTTCAACGTTTTCCCAGTCTTTTCATCCCCCACATAAAACACATTGTTTCCCCCCGGATGCCCGACCACTTTGCGCATGCGCAACGCACCACTGTGCACATCCACCTGGATGACGCGACGGCAGCCATATTGCACCAGACTGCACACCACACACCAGCTGATTGGTGGAGAGGAGACAGTGTGATGAAGCCAATAATGATAATGGGATGGTTAGGAGGCCTTGATGGACAGTAGCCAGTAGGCAGTGTTGGCCAGGGTTAAATCCCTACTATTTTTCAAAGGACATCCTGGGATTTTTAATAAAGGACCTCGGTTTAACATCTAATCTGAAAGACGGCGCTTACTGAGCAGTATAGAGTCCCCATAAATATCAGGGGCATTAGGACTCACACAGACCACAGGTTGAGCGCCCCCTGCTGACCTCACTAACACCACTTCCTGCAGCAACCTGTGGTCCCATGTGGTCTCCCATCCAGGTGCTGACCGGGCACAGCCCTGCTTAGCTTCAGTGGGCGACCATGCGAGTTGCAGAGAGCTAGCTGCCGGCTTATAATTGTTAGTCTTTTTAATTTCATGTAACTCATCCTTCATAAAAAAGGGACTAAGCCAAAGGAAAATGAATGACATGCACAGATGAATTGTTCAGCACAAAACTAGCAATGTGAGCTAACAATGAGGACTTTAATATTTGTAGTGAGTTTGATTGATGTTGAGATGACTAGAAAAGCACATTTGCCTACTTCATTTAAAGGCAGGAAGATTTTTCTTACAGTGTAGCTGCATCAGACATTCACAAACTATCATTTGTGTTTTTTCACAGTGAGACTCTCAATGTTCCCATGATTCCCCTGGGCTTGAAAGAGACAAAAGAGATTGACATGACCGTTCCTCTTCAGGTGAGATCAGTATTCATGAGCGTCTCTGCATGTGTGTGTGTGTGTTAAAGATGCACGATACTGGAAAAAATTGACAATGATATATATATATATATTTTTTTTTTTTTTTTTTTTAATAAATTTTTTTTTTTGCTATATATTAGTTATAATTAATTATAATTAGCTATAATTGTAATTTGAAATATATTTCACCAAATGGGTTAAGCAACTCTTTTTGTGAAGAGATAGTTTGGGGTGACTATAGTAGGCCTGTCACGATATCTATATTTGTTGTACGATATTTTGCACCAAAATATACTGCAATACACAATATTAATGTCATTTTAAGGCCATTTTATGCCACTAAAATAAAATAATTAATGCAAGAATGACAATATAATATCATCACAATACAAGTGCACTCTCCCAAAAGACACATCTTAATAATGATTAAATTAAATGATAGTTATATTTAACAGTTTAATAAAGAGGCGTTGGAAGCAGAATGTGAAAACACATATCCTAAAAACACAAAAGTAAAGAGTAACAGCTGTGATATCTGCCACCAGATCTATTTTTTTACCTGTCAGACCCCCACATAAGAATATACTATAGTAATACATAATAAATACTACAGTGTTTTAAACCATACTGACACTGACACCTCCAATAGAGATAGAGATGTTGCACAATCAGCTAAAATGTTGCTAGAATAGGGTATATGCCGAGCTAGTGCTGTTCCCATGCTGATACACTTCCGGTGACCTGTTATTGTGAACTTTTTACCATTTTATACGGTTCCTTATACAGCATCGATGTTGTAATGTCATTAAAATACACTCAGTTAAATAAACTTTAGCATTTATTTGGTTGCTCAAGCGTAAAACGAGACAAAAAGCTGTTTACTCGCACGCGCCCGTCAGAATCGGCAGGCTAACGCAGAAGCTCCATTGAATATACTGGGGTAAAATAAATGCTCATATTATAAAGATATGGCGGGGGAATGTAATTTAATGCAGGGCTTCTTGTACAATCTGAGACCCACTTTATATCGGATATCACTCTGCTAGTGAAGATCGCTGACTTTTAAAGAAAACAGACCTTGAACGCACCGGATTTTGCACTGGCATTCAATTCGCCGGAAGCGCTTAACCCAGGTTACTGGCAAATTAAAAGTCCTCTTAGCATGCTTCGGCATATACCCCATTGGTATTTATGTATGGGTGATAAATATTGCATCACCAAATATGATTGAGCTCGTGTCCATGTGTAGTGTGGTAAGTCCATATACTGATTATTGGGACAGACCTAGTTTATAACTGAGCGCATCTGCATAAATGACTAAAATTAAATTTGAACTAGATTTTTCAGGGTGGAAAACATACAAATGGGAGAAATAAAGTGGTTTATATTGTTCTGGTAAGTCAATTGGAAACAAATATTTAAAAAATCTAATATAAAATGCCACTTTTTAATATAAAATAACATAAAATTACACACATTTCACTATAAAATGTCATTTAATTAGTGTATGTTATTGTTTCCTGTGCTTGAATGCTTTAAACTCCACAGTAGTACAAATTTAGCATTAATCTATAAGCTCCTGGTCGACAGTAAGTCATAATTGACTTTGCAGATCCAGCGATGTGACTATTGTGGATGCGCATGTTGCGATATCGATGCTGAAACCATATGTTATCCAGCTTTAATGTGTGTATATATTTAACTTCAATGCGTCTTTTCTGCATCTTCAGGATTTTATTGCTGAACATTACGGCGAGGACGCATCTCTGTACCTGAACGAGATCCAGGATTTCATGGAGCTTAGACAGGTCGGGTCAGACTTACTCACAGTTATCAGTTCTTCTTGTATCACAGTTCTGTGCTCATGAATTTCATTCTGATTCAGTTTATGTTATATATAAAGTGCCCTAAAGACCATTTTGGGGGATGAATACAATTACAGTGGCCATAATGTATTACCCGTATTTCATTTTTAGTGTCCATTAACTTCCGACGATCCAAAAAGCTTGATCGATAATGCTGTTTTGATGTTAAGCTATGATTGAATTACCTCTTTACAGTTACAAAATAGTTTGACATCAAGCAGGAAATGTTCATGATGACATCACCACATGGAAAAGGTCTTTTGTAACCCAACTTAGAAATATACATCAGCATAAAATACAAAGCCTTATAATCTACCATTTACAGTATTTAGGAAGAGCTATCCTCAAGGCCATGTTCTCTAAATTCAGTCTTAGAGTTTTAATTTAGTCTTTTGTTGTTGATTAATGGTAAAGACAAGTGTTCATTTTGATCGCGGGTTAATTTTCATGAGCAGTCCCATCCCCACTGTCTATTAGAAGATACAAAATCGATTCATTAATGCATATCGATTGTTTTCCTAGTGATTCTGAACCGATTCTCACCTATTATTTTACACAAATACCATCTTTTATTTGTTTGTTTGATCATGCTGCCTTTGCTTTTGCCTTATAGTTATTTTATGAAAGGAATGATATTGTTGGGTGCATGTATTTATTAGATTTCCATTAGATTTTTTTATTTAAATGTCTGCTAAAGTTCATGTATAAAATCAGAATAAATTCTGTTTTCATATTAGATCTCGACTGTGGGCGTGAGCTAGAAATTGAAAAATAATAAGCACTGACAGGATTGGATCATGCATCAAGTTCCTAAACATTCCCATCCCAATATCTCCTCACCCTCATGCGGTTTAAGAGATTGTTTTCTGTTGCACTTAAAGTCAGACATTTCGAAGAAAGCTGAAAACTGATAATGATTGACTTCTATACTAGGAAAAACAAATACTAAGGAAGTCAATGGTTACAGGTTTCCAGCATTCCTCAAACTCAAGGGTGAGTAAATGATGACAGAATTGTTTTTTTTTCGACAAATTGTCCCTTTAAGATGTTTAGTGAATACAGAACAGGGGCCTCATGTATCAACGCTGCGTACGCACAAAAACTTTCACGCTCAGAATCGCTCACGTTTGGATTTACTAAAGATGAAATGAATGTTGGAATGTGCGCAGCTCCACGCCAGCTTCATGGCTGGCGTACGCACATTTTTTGTGCGTGTCTGTTTTATTTCCATTGGCGACTCCTAGAGGCAGTTGTGTTAAATTCCTCTCTACAAAGTGTCTTTGAGCCGTGCAATGGCAGCTGTATGAGACGGGTTCACTAGCAGGTATATAAGGTTTCCATACCATACAGTTGACCAGCTAAACATTAAAGTGCAATTTGCAGCGGTCGCCTGTTTTCCCATTGTAATGGAAGCGATCTACTGCACACACATTGCTATAAAGGCACTACCTGAAGATGAATTTGCATACGTGAATCAGAAACATTTCCATTCAATAAATGTGCAAATAAAATATGATGCACAGACTTATTAATCATTCCTACTTGTCTTTCTCGTGATAAATAGTTGGCAAAATCTGATATGTGGGGGGGGGGGGGGGGGGGGAGGGGGGGAATGAGTTCATCAGACGCTGGATTCGAACCGAGTTCATGCTCGAACGTGTCAAAACATGATGACATGCGCTTTACTAGCTGCGTCACCCAGACTGTTAAGTGCACAACAACATTTTGCACCTACATATGTCATTATTTCTTTTTTTAATCCACTCAGTGCGATGTTCAGATATAAAAGGCACAAAGGTCTATGTGTGTTTGCGTATTTATTAGTTTATAATATATAGCGTGGATTATAATATAATAAACAGAGAGATTAACTCTTTGTCATGGACAATATTTCTAAAAAATAAGCTTGATAAGTCGTCTGTAGCAGGGTGGGGCTGACGTCATGACGAGAGCCCTGAGGGCTCTGTAGTCCGTTTATAGCCTAATGTTAGCTTTTCAAGTCTTGCGTTTGCATTTAAGATCCAAAAAGTGCACAAAGTTGTATTTTCGTGTGACAATTATCCGGCTGAACAAAACGTGTAAGTGTAATGAACCGTGTTTGGACACAGAGCTTATTATTCGCAATCTTTGAAAACCCTATGGGAAAATCCTATAGGGATTTTCACGAGGGAACCAGTTTTATGCTAGCAGCCGATTAGCCTACAAAGTGACGTCATAGTTCCTCCACTCTATTAAGTATTAAATTTAAGACCTATATCACAATATCAAACACAGGCAAGCGTGAAATGCAAAATAGGTAAAATAAATGTATTTAAATTGAACAGTACTAACCTCTTAACCTCTTAATGCTGATTTATACTTTTGCCTAGCGCTGCATTGAAACTAAAACTGCAAGCAGACAAAGCTCCGAGTACATATTTGGCTGTGCCCAGAAATGTAGACCTGGGTAGTGGGTACGTATCCACATTAATGAGCCTGGGTTGGTAGAATTAGAACAAAATGTCGGAAATGAATAGAGAACTATGCAGAGTGGTGGAGCATGAGAGCTGGAATGAGATGATCAATGTCACACAGCCCTATAGTGAAAACACAGGTCTGGGATGAATGATTATTTGTGGTGATGAAATGCGTCTCTGGCCTCTCCTGCAGGCCATGCGGACTCCCAGCAGGAATGAAGCAGGACAGGAGCTGCTGATGGAATATTTCAACCAGCTGTATTTCCTGGACCAGCGCTTCTTCTCTCCACACAGAAGTCTGGGCGTTCATTTCCACTGGTCAGACACAGTTTCACACATTTACGAATCAGAGATGAACACTTTATACACTGCAAAAATGCTTTTCCTACTTAGATTTTGTGTTTTGTTTCTAGTCCAAATAACTGAAAGTTCTCAAATCAAGAAGTATTTTCTAGACAAGCAACACATAATGTCTTGTTTTAAGAAATAATATGCCAAAATGACGTGAGTTTTTCCTTAAATCAAGCAAAATAATTTGCCAATGGGGTAAGCAAAATAATCTTATCACAAATCGAAAAACAAGATTATTTTGCTTACCCCATTGGCAGATTATTTTGCTTGATTTAAGGAAAAACTCACGTCATTTTGGCATATTATTTCTTAAAACAAGACTATATGTTTTGCTTGTCTAGAAAATGCTTCTTGATTAAAGAATTTGTAGATATTTAGACTAGAAACAAGACAAAAAATCTATGTAAGAAAAGCATTTTTTGCAGTGTAGTGGTGTAAAGTACAAATTACAGATGCTCAATTTACTTAGTTTTTCTCAGGGAATGTACTCCACTAAGTAGTTTTAAACGTGCACTTTTGCTTGATTACATCTTTAGTGCTGTATCAGTACTTTTACTGTGCCATTTTCTTTTCAACATGAGGCTTTTTATGCTTATTTTTTCTTGTCTTCTGTGATTGGCCCATATTTTTCACTCATAATCTGAATAGTATTTACCGCAGACACTTTCACTGTACACTCACTACATGTAGTGGAGTGTGATTTATCAGTGTTGTCATTTTGTGATGGTGTGTCTCTGCAGGTATGATTCTCTAACCGGTGTGCCTTCAGTGCAGAGAGCGCTGGCCTTCGAGAAAGGAAGCGTTTTGTTCAACATCGGAGCTCTTTATACTCAGATCGGAGCCAGGCAGGATCGCTCCACACTGAGTGGCATTGAGGATGCCATCGATGCTTTCCAGAGAGCAGCCGGTAATGAACAACACTACGGAGTCTGTTTTTAGGAAATGCAGCACAGTATAATACACATTTATAAGCTCATGTCCTTAAAGAGAAGGTCATGTGGTTTTTTAAAGTGTCCTCTTATTGTGTTGGAGTCTACTGCAACAAGTTTAACTGCATCTTCATTCAGTCATTTTCTTGTCGGCTTTATTAATCCGGGGTCACCACAGCGGAATGAACCATCAGTTTATCCAGCAAGTTTTAAGCAGCGGATGCCCTTCCAGCCACAACCCAGCTCTGTGAAACATTCACACACACACTCATACACTACAGACAATTTAGCCAACCCAATTCACCTGTACCGCATGTGTTTGGACTGTGGGGGAAACCGGAGCACCTGGAGGAAACCCACGCGAATGCAGGGAGAACATGCAAACTCCACACAGAAACGCCAACTGAGCTGAGGCTCGAACCAGCAGCCTTCTTGCTGTGAGGCGACAGCACTACCTACTGCGCCACCGCTTCGCTCTAAATGCATCTTATATCCGAAAAATCAACTTGAATCAATTTAGGGTGTTTAGAGCTTTAAAATGTGCATAATTTTATTTGATGTTTGACGTAATCTCAACTGAAACATGAAGAGAGAGTAGGGCATAGAACCAATAGAGTTTTGTATTAATCGCAGAGCTGCCAGAGAGAGTGGTTGAGCTCAAGCACATCAATTGAAAAGCTAATGAGGAGGAGGCGGGGCATGACAACCACAAGAGAGCATTTGATTGGTCAGAAGATCTGATTAGAAACTGAAGTATGAGATGACGTTAAAAAATTGTTGATTCATTTAGAAGTGACAAACTGCAAACTTTGGATGTTTATATCAGGTTTATATCTTCTACATGTGAATTTTGTCACTGATTTTATTAACACACAGATACTGATATGTAAAAAAAACACCTTATTTTAATTTCAATGGGACTTTAAGGTCTGTAAACACCTCCCCCTTCCATAAGCCAGCTGTCATTGGCCAGCTGGCCAGATCTGTTTAGTCTTTCCATGTGGGAAAACTATGTGCATGTCAGGTAAGGATTATGCAAAGGAGAATGATTGATTGAAAAAAAAAATATTTACAAAGGTGATTTAGAGCTGAATTTTTCTTTTGAGAGACAGCATGTTTATTTATCATGCACTTCTTTTTGGTTAAACAATTTGCAGACATTTACATTAAAGGTGCAGTTGGTGATCTTCCACAATGCTAACAGCTTAGCATAAATCTCTGAATCTCAATCCCTCCCCTGCCGTCTAGAGCCACGCCTCCTTAAATACGAGCACAGCAAAAGAACCCTCTCTCATGTGTTAAAAGCAACTAGTGCTTGTCTGGCGGTGTGCAAGCCAAACTGACATGCTATTTCAGAGTGAATATTTAGAGTTGCATGGTAAACAATATAGGGAGAGACTAGGCGGAATAGCGATATTGTGTTTTGTTATTAAACTAATTAAAATCTACATTATAGATGCTGTAAAAGTCCATTATGAAACTGAAAGTAGTCTTATCAATCTTTCATCAAAAGATTTTAGTGGCTGAACAACACTTCTGTGAAGATATAACCCGTTTGTAACAACATCTAACGTTACATCAGTTTTGCGTGAAGCTAAAACAGTTTTAAAACAGAACATTACCTGTCTAAGAGAAAACCTTCAGACATAAGGTTCAGGTAACTCCAATATTGATTCAGGTTTTTAAAAACTTTTGATTCAGCATGCTTTTACCGATCGCACGCGTTCTCCCTCGTTCTCGTGTTGTTTTTTTTCTCTCTTTCTCTATCTCTCTCAAATTCAAAGAGCTTGACTGTAAAACAAATCACAACGTTTCCAAAGCAATAACAGAACACAGAACATTCATATACATAAAAAATATAAGTAATAATAAACAAACACATATACATGTCGTTATATATTATACATATGTTGTCACAATAAACAAGTTATTTTAAAAAAATTCAACAAAAAAAAAAAATTCTAAAAAAATTCTCTCTCTCGTGAACGTGCGGCGGTCGGCGCAGCTGCGTACAAACGGCCGCGCAGCTGTTCAAATCTGCATTTGCTCACAGACAGGTTGGGCTACTTATTGGAATTATGGGAGATGTCGATCCGACTATTTAATTGGATGAACATTTTTTTTGTTTTGTGCCTTACTGTAAATATAAAAATACATATAAACACATTTAGATCATTTACTGTAATCATTACTATTAGACTGTGAAGAGACTTTCAACCAGCACAACAAAAAACGCTTTTGAAGACAATCACATACTACATCTTTAAAGGACAGCTACATTACAAACTGCAAATAAGATATTTTTCAGTTACTCATATGACCTGCTCTTTAGATTTAATAGATCGCTCATTCTCCTTCACTCGTGTACATTTTTAAAATATTGGACACTCCAATGTTGCATTTATTTGATCAATAAACACAGTTAAGAAGGAAATAAGGAACATCGGGCTCTATTTTGACGGTCCAAAATAAACTGAAAAAAAAATGAGCATTTCACAAGGAAACAGTTAACAGTTAAGTTTTTAAACAGAAAACAGTTAAACAGAGCATCTACTGCGTGAGAATGAGAGATAATGGATCTACTTTCACATTCGCTCTTGGATAGGGAAACCTTTACGCACAGACATCAATTAGTCTATAAATAAATACTTTTGTTTTTAAGCGCAAATCTTCGTTTCAAAACTATTTCTAAATTCAGTTCTAATTTCCAGCAAACGAATAAATGAACAATAATAACAAAATGAGCTCAAAAACCTGAGTGATATCCTAAAACACATGCTGTGCCCCATATGGTCTAAAACCTGACAGGTGGACAAATCTAAGCTTGTTTTTAATAAAACAAATATAAATATGGATATAATAAATAATACTGCTAATAATAATAACATTATACAAAAGCAAATTGTTATGAATGAACTGAAAAAGCCTCCCGAGATGAAGAAGACATAAAAGCAGTGATTTTTCATATTTATGTAGGCTAGAAAATAATGTATTGTAATATTTTAATCCTTTATATTTGTATCCTATATATATCCTTAATATTTACATGTTTTCATATGTAAAGATATTTGTCTATTGCTCTCTTGTGCGTATTAAGCAGTGCGTAAGCGAGGCGCAACTCTGCGCTGGAGTTTAGACCGGGTTTGTTTTGGTCTAATGAAAAATCTATTATAGTTTCTCAAAATAGCAACGCGCCAGCGGTCCGCCTCGAACGCCTTCCTTTTTAGACCAGAACGCCTATGGGCGCACATATGAGCACTAATGCATTTGCTATTTAAACAGCGTAGCGCAACGCCTCAAAACCACTCTTGCGCCAAGCTGAAACTACTAAAAGACTATTGCGCCACGGCTTGCGCCAGGGGTATGATAGGGCCCATTGAGTGTAATTTTACATTTTGAATTGACCATGATGGTATATATTATTTATCGAAGATTTCTTGCAGGTAATTGTAATTGCAAAAGTATGGCTAAAAGTTTGATAAAAGGTTTATAATTGCGAAATAAATGTGCAGTTAGGAGCAGCTTGAATTGTAAGATTTAACCTTACAATTGCTAGGCGGTATTGTGGCTGAGTGGTTAGCACTGTGGGATCACAGCAAGTAGATCGTTAGATGGGTCCCGGCTGGGCCAGTTGTCATTTCTGTGTGGAGTTTGCATGTTCTCCCCGTGTTGGTGTGGGTTTCCTCCACAGTCCAAACACATGTGCTATAGGGGAATTGGATGAACTTAATCGGCCGTGTGTGCATGAGTGTGTGAATATGAGTGTGTACGGGTGTTTCACAGTACTGGGTTGCAGCTGGAAGGGCATCCGCTGTGTGTGAAGTAGTTGGCGGTTCATTCTGCTGTGGTGACCCCTGATAAATAAGGGACTAAGCTGAAGGAAAATTAATACAATGATGTGATGTTCTGTTTGTGTGTGTGTAGGTGCATTTCTCTACCTGCAGGAGAATTTCTCTCATGCGCCCAGTCTGGATATGAGCGGCTCTGCGCTGAGCATGTTGGTCCGGCTCATGGTAGCTCAGGTAATAAGAGCATCTTCTGGAAATCAAATATGCATTTCAGAGTATGTCTTTTATGATGTCATTTGTCTTTATGCATTGTGCGCAGGTTCAGGAGTGTGTGTGTGAGAAGGTCCTACTTAACATACAGGACATCCACCTGAATGTGCTTCTGCAAGCTGCCCAGGAGGCTGCTAGGGTGAAAACATACATACACACACCTTCATGGGGACTCTCCATAGCTGTAATGATGTTTCTACCGTACTGTACATTATATTAGATTTATTATGGTGGCTTAAGAAAGCCAGCATTTTTGATATTCTACATAAACATATTATTATTCTTCCGTATTCTTCTTACGTCTTTTGAGACTAATTTGAAGCCTTTCAAGCTACATACTTCAAACTTTCGTCAGACCTTCAAACTGGTCTGACTCGGGTTGCTATATCTTTTCTAACTGATCTGACTTTGGGTTTTTCGAAAAACGACCCTGAAATTTCCCAAAAGTCCCATAGACTTAACATTGGGTCAAACTTTGTGAGCTCATAACTCTGCATTAGACTGTCATACAGACTAATGGCTGAGCTCATTTACCTCAGTCTAGCCAGCAGCCAATCACTAATGACCTTTAAACTTACTAGCCAATCCATAGCAACCAATTCCAGCACCCTAGTAACTGTCCCATAGACTTCCATTGTAAAAGACTGTCATTGACTTAACATTGGATCGGCCTTTGTGTGCTCATAACTCTGCATCCGACTGTCCTACAGACTAGAGTCTGGCCTCATTCAACTCAGTCTAGCCAGCAGCCAATCACTGATGACCTTTAAACTTACTAGCCACTACCTAGCAACCAATTTCAGGACCCTAACACATGCTAATAGTTTTAACATCCTACTGACATGCTAATCTTGCTAGAAACATACTAGCAACATGCTAGTCATGCTAGCACATGCTAATTCATGCTAACAACATGCTAGAAACAATTATGCTAGAATCTTGCTAACAATGTGCAAATTCATGCTTGAATCATGCTAACATGCTAATTCATGCTAGAAACCTGCTAACAACATGCTAATTCATGATAGAAACATGCTAACAACATGCTAATTCAAGTTGGAATCATGCTAACAGCATGCCAATTCATGTTAGAATCATGCTAACAACATGTTAACCCATGTTGGAATTATGCTAACAACATGCTAATTCATGCTAGGATCAGGCTAATTACATGCTAATTCATGCTCAAATGATGCTAAAAACCTGCTAATTCATGCTAAAAATGCTAACAACGTGCTAATTCATGTTGGAATCATGCAAACAGTGTGCTAAGTCATACTAGAATCATGCTAATTTGTGTTAGAAACATGCTAATTCATGTTGAAACCATGATAGCAACATGCTAATCCATGCTAGAAACATGCTAGCAACGTGCTAATTTATGCTAGAAATACACTAACAACATGCTAATTCATGTTAGATTCATGCTAATAACATGTTAATTTATAGAATCATGCTAATTTAGGCTAGTATCATGCTATTACCAACCTCAGACACAGGAATCAACTTTAAATCTTTTTACGGGCTTGCTTCACTCTTTACAGTGGTTGCATTGTTGACTGCAGAATCTTAAACATTCTTTTAACCAACCTAATACTTCTTCAAGCTAAATAAATGACTTCCAACAGGCTTTCTCAAGCCACCATAAAGTTTGTCCTCAAACTTGATAAATTAGTTTTTATTGTCATTACAAATGTAGATTAAAGGGTAACAAAATGCATCTAACCAGAGTGCAAATATAAGCAGTAAATGCAGCAAGGATGAATAATACATAGATATGTTACAATTTACAGATAGAGGTAGTTTTATGGGTATGATAACTACTAAGGATAAGATATAATATAGGTGTACTTACTATGGACATATGCAGTTTAAATTAGCTAATAGATGTGTGTACACTATAGCGGAGAAACGTACAACATATTTTACAGATGGATATGATTAGATTGAAAATAGTACAGTCAAGGTATAAAGTTATATATAATAGTTCAATGTAATAATTCAATATAACATATAATAGTTTAATATACGGTGTATTCTCTCCTCTACCCCTAAACCCAACCCTCACAGAAAAAATCTGCACTTTTAGATTATCAAAATACCAAAACAATGTTTTCACAAGGTCAAAACTTACTAGTATTGCTATACTTGTGGGGACATTTGGTTACCAGTGTAAGGAATACAAGATACATACACAAGTATTAAACACGTCACGTTTTGTCCTGGGAATAATATTTCTAAAGGAGCTGTTGACATGGAATTGGAGTACATTTTGGTAAAAACCCAAACAATACAAAAATATATATATTTAGATTCATAAAAATAGTTTATTATTATATTTTTTTATTGGATTCGGATCAGGTGATTGGCTAGGCCATTCTACAGCTTGATTTTTTTTCTCTAAAAGCATCTGAGAGTCTCCTTGGCTGTGTTTTGGATCATTGTCTTGCTGAAATGTCCACTCTGGTTTCATCTTCATCCCCCTGCTGATGTAGATGTTGGACTGAAGCAGCTGATATTCATTTACACTGAGGAAGGGAAGAGGCTTGCTGAAGAACTACTGAGAGATTTCAGCTGCTGTCTGGGCTTTCACTAACTACACCTTCCTTTCTTCATGTGTTCAATACATTTTCCCTGTCATTTCATTTTATTACACAGAACTTCATTTGTAATCAATTCTGTGGGGAGGTAAGCATGATCGAACACCCAATAAGGGGGTAGAGCATGCTCAGAGCCCGGCGGCTAATCAGCAAGCCAATCAGAAATAATAAATAACACCTGTTTATTCTAGTGATTGGGCCGGGGAGACACCCTTCTTAAGGAGAACGGGAGAGCTGAGCGACCAGCAGCAACCCTTGATGCTGAGCACAACACAACCAGACACAGAACGTTAAATAAAAAAATTGTCTCTTACCTCAACGCCGACACTGTCTTCTTCTTCCCACCCAAAAAACCTTGTTACAAATTCGTTTAGTTTTCTTTGCATATTTGGATTTCTCTGGTTGTTACCAACATCCGGAGAAAATTTCAAGTCAACAGCACCTTTAGAGATATGTTTTCTGAGAAAACTGGTGACGCGTTTAATGCTTATTTCCCCCGCTGAGTTTGAACAAATGTCTTAAGTGTTTGTTTATGTGTTTGTAGGTATCAGACGTGTATTCTCTAGTTCTTCAGGCGATGTCTGTGCCGCTACTGAAGGATTACGTTCCCTTCTCCTGGATCTCTATGGTTCAGGTCAAAACTCATCATTTCAGAGCGCTGGCGCATTATTACACTGCTGTGGCTCTGTGTGACTGCTCAGGTAACTGTGTTATTGACTGATAGCCTGCATTATTGCTCAGGTGTTTGGAATAATTGAGAATATTTAATCTCAATGAAAGAAGAGCTTATGAATAATTTGACCTTATGAATAATAAGGTCAAAAGATTAAAGAGAAGCTATTATGCAAAAGTCACTTTCATAAGGAGTTTAAAAAGTTGTCAGCAGTGTGTGAATATAACCAGCCACTAATAGTAAAAATTAATCAGTGATATTGTTTGTAATCAGACTTGATATAAACAGTCTGCAGAAACACTTTGATTGACATTCTCCGTTTGTACGTGTCATCAGAGGGGGAAAGCCCCGGCCACTAGTGATCATCTCTCCCTCATTAGCATAGGATGTCAGTCTTGTTTTTGAATCTGCTACTATGCTGACGCGCAAGCTTTTGTAGCTCCGCCTTGTTCTGAAAAAAGCACAATCTCATTTGAATTTAAAGCGACAGTCACCAAAACTCCACAATTAGGATCAAAGCCTGAAAGGGTCAGAGAGTTAGAAAACATTATCTGTGATCTGTGCTATTTTGAGCTGAAACTTCACACACACAATCTCTAGGGACACCAGAGACTTATTTTACATCTTGTAAAGAGGGGCATAATAGGTCCTCTTTAATATTTAAAAAAATATACCATATTACATGAGGTTTTCTAAATCAATATATTTGAAATGTGGTCTATTCCTGTAATGTAAAGCTGTATTTTCAGCATCATTACTCCAGTCCTTAGTGTCACATGATCATTCAGATGTCATCATAATATGATGATTTCCTTATTTAAAAACAGTAAAAAAAAAGTGTGACCATCTTATATATAAACTTTTATGTGCACTATTTATTTATGGAGTACATTCAGTGTTTCCTCTAGGATTTTTTACCTTTTTATCAGATCTACCAACTACCTGTAGCGTTATTTCAATGACAAATGTCGTGAGCGCAGTATTACAATTGGAGATTGCATTTATCTAATAGGCTACAGCATGCGAATCTCTTTGCTTGCGCGCCGATTTCTTCTGCTCGTGCACAAAACTTCTTGCACGCTCCCTCAAAGCCGTTTAAGCGCAGATCTTCTTGTGCGCTCTCAAATAAACGCTGCTGAAGTGCAATTTAGTGCGTTTTTGTAACGACTATGTCTACAACATTTGATAGATTTGCTAGGAATATTTATGAATGTCTCCAATAGACATACAGAGTGTTAATGCATCCTGAAGTAAAATGAAATAGCTATACGTCGTGTTTGCCAGCCTCACGAGAAGTTGTAATGTAGCTGTAGTGGGATTTTCAATTTTGGTGTTCCGCCCCGCCATAGAAGAATTAATGTAGCGGAAACCATGATATTATTACTGTCATTTTGAGTTTGGCTAATGTAAGCAATTAAATGTTTATTCACCAGTGGTATATATAAATATGACAATATAGAGATTTCTATTGTTGCAAAAGGCTTTCATAAAAACACATTTCTTTTAGAAAAACTTATGAATCTAAGTATTTGAAAACAGAATCAGAAGTGTTTTTTCATATTAAAGTCATTTCTGAAAAACTCACTCAATGAACTGAAGTAGACACTAAAAATTCAGCTTTACATTACAACAATAAGTTGCTTTCTTACTTACTATCTTTACATTTAAATACATTGTAGTAGATTAGAATAATGCTCCATTAGCAGGGTTCAACGCTAAGATTTTTTTTACTGTGCCGATCGGGAAAGTGGTTGAGATTTTTACTGGCCCTGCCAAAGTTTTTACTGGCCCCATATTTTAAATAATGTGGCAAAATAATGTCTGTGAATCTAAAATTTAAACATTTAAAAAATGTTAATAAATGTATAATGAGCAAATTTCAAGATTTTTATGCAAACGAAAGAGCAGTATGGGAAATGTGCTGGTATTTTATTGCAACTCTAAATTATTACAAAAAAAATGGATTGCCAAATTGACGACAACTTTTTTTTTTTCCAGAATGTTAATTTTGTACCCGTGTAATTGTCTGCTTCCAAGACTTTAAAAACAGACGCTTTCTTTTAGCCTCACAGTTTGACGTTGCTGCCATGTTGCCATCTTTTCTTTGTACTGGTTACCAGGTTCCGGAAACAAATAACATGCTCATCGTTACTGGCCGGTAGGGGCCAGTAACAATCCTGTCTACTGTCCCGAGCATCTTTCATGCTGGCCTCGGACTACCGGGCAGTTCTTATTGTTGAGCCCTGATTAGTTAATGTTAATGTATTTACTAACATTAACTATGTATAATCCTGTACAGCATTTATTAATCATAGTTCAACATGAACTAATGCATTATAAAAATACAAAGCTGTGCATGTTAACATTAGTTAATGCAGAGTGACGTCATTTAACTTAACATTAATGTTAACAAAGATGAATAAATACTGTAATAAATGTATTCCTTATGGTTTGTTCATGTTAGTAAATGCATGACCTAATGCACCATTATTTTAAAGTGTTACCTATTATTCAAATTCATATACACTTCTCTTATATTCCAAATAAGTGATTATATTTCACAGTATTACTGCATTTTGATTTGTTTTTGATCAAACAAACATGATTATTAATTATGCAAATCATAAGCATATACAATCTTTTAATACAAATGTTTTACATCTAAATGTACTTCGTCTAAAATTGCAGATAACTGATATTGTGTTCAACAACCAATACAGGTGTTGGGGATGAAGATGAAGATGGTGCAGAAATTAAAGCTCTTGTTCAGATTCACACCAGACAGCCAGAAAAACTCAATCTCCAGGATCCCGAGGACAAGCGGAGACTCGGTTTGTGTTTTCTGATCTCACAGTTAGAGTTTCAGCACAGGCTAACACATGGTAATTTTCATATACTAACAGTGGTGGAAAGAGTACTGAAAAAGTACCATGACTTGCCCAATAATGTAGTGCAGTAAGAGTTATCTTATCTGTTATTATAATATTACTCAAAGTCGACTTTTCAAAAGTACTCAAGAGTAGTGAGTGTTATGCTGGGAAAAGTTGATGCGTTCACATGCATTACAGTGCGGTTAGTTAATGTTTAAGGCCATTTTGGTCATCATACTGTAAACATCTGTCATTTTCTCATCAGTGACATTCAGTTTAAACAGTCTCTGGGTCATTGCGTGTAAAGTATCTTCTGCACGGCACAAAGTGACTGCAAGTTGAAGGAAAGTTAAGTAAAAGTACTGATTTTCATTGCTAAAAATGAGCTCAAGGGAAAGTACACATTTATAAAACGACTTAGTAAATTACAATTTCTGACAAAAACTACTCAATTACAGTAGTTTGAGTATTTGTAGTTTGTTACTTTACACCACTGTTTACTAATATAACATCTCAGGTCAGTCCGGAGTCAGAGGGGTGATTCTTCTGCTGCTCTTTAGCTCTAAAATAATGAGTGTGATGCAATACTGCATTTCTACTTAGTATAAAAGTCTGTATTTAATGCTGGAAACAAGGTTGTTTAATCAATTAAAAATCTGATCTATGATTGTAGGTCAGCCCTTTATTAAGCTAACCTTGTCCCTAACCATGTTTTGCATAATGAGTTTTAATATTATCATCAAATCGGAGGTATAGCGTCCAAGATTTAACATGGTCAAGCGAAAACCCACTTTTGCTCATTAGTCAATGTTGGAGTTAAGTAAGAAGTGTTATTAAATAAACAATCAAGTGCACAGTAAATAGATCGATTTTTATGTAATGTCTTGCTTCTTATGTTCGAATATTATAAACCAGGGGTCACCAAACTTGTTCCTGGAGGGCCGGTGTCCTGCAGATTTTAGCTCCAACCCTAATCAAACACACCTGAACAAGCTAATCAAGCTCTTACTAGGTATACTTGAAACACCCAGGCAGGTGTGTTGAGGCAAGTTAGAGCTAAACCCTGCAGGACACCGGCCCTCCAGGACCAGGATTGGTGACCCCTGTTATAAACAAACAAGTGCACAGTAAATAAATAGTTTTTTTTTTAGGGATGAACAGATACCACTTTTTTAGAAACCGATACGAGTATGAGTATTTTAATTTGTGTACTCGCCGATACCGAGTACCGATTCCGATACTTCCTAAATATGTTTTCACTGAAAGTGCAATTAATTTGTAAGGTTTTATTTTTAGCCTGTAGCAAGGATGAACGCTAAAATCTTTAACAGAAGCCTATGCCAAGCCAAAAATATACACACACGTTGTTGATAACCATGTAAATCCATAGACTTTATCGATTACCAATTAAGCATGGACATTTAAACAGAGGCGTAGTCTGTGTTCTCTAAACACCTCTTAAGCGGTGGACTACTTCATTCTGATTGCTGGTAAAGTCTAGATCGGATATGCGGCCGGCCGGAAGTGCGATATGCACATTAATAAAGCAGTATTTTTTATGACACTGTAAAACAATAATTAATATTTTTACAGTACTGTGAGGGTTGGGTTTAGGGTTGGGGTGGGGGTAGGCGTTAAAAAATAAATTTTATTGGGTAATTTAATAGATAACATAACTAATACTCAGTACAACAACTGTTTTTACGTTACTGTGACGGTTGGGTTTAGGGTTGGGGTGGGGGTAGACGTTAATAAAATACAACAAATGTGAAATTTAATAAATAATAGAAATAATTCTCATTAACTTCCGGCCGCAAACGTATCCGCTCTAGCAACAACCCTGATTGCTTGTTGCCGAACCGCGTCATATCATATCTCAAAGTTGACTTGATTTGATCTCTCTTTGACGCTCACACCGGAGAAGACGCGCCGCGCTGTTTCTTATCGCCGGTTCCTATGGAAAATGAATGACTTCTGGCTACTTTGACGCTCTCGCCGCTTTCGCCCTTCCGTTTGTGAAAGCTTCCCCGGCGTTGTCGCTCTACCCGCCTCCCTTCCCCGCTCCTTAATTTGTGATCACTTCCCCGCGTTGTCTCTCGTGATGTTGCATATTGGGGACGCACCAAAACCCTGTTATGCCTGGTTCTTCGGTATATTCGCCAGCCCTGCCATTAATCTACAGGTAAGGTAATCAAAAAGTTTAACTATTTAGATGAGTCGTGGGTGGATAAGATCAATAGGTGGTTATGCAAACTTTGACTACTTTCTTTAAAATATATAAAGATATTTTAAGCTATTTTATCTTGACATACTGCCATAATGTAAATGTAACTGTAAAATGGGTTTAACAATAATTTGTAAATATTTATTGCAGCACCAAAAACAATTGAGGTCATCTCCAATATTGCACGATAAGTAGATATATTGATTATTGTGACAGGCCTACTCATCTGACAATAAAATATTTTCATATCGCTCTGAAGGTAAAGCTCACCTGCGTAAAGCCATCATTCGTCACGAGGAGGCTCTGCGTCTTCACGGCGTGTGTAAAATGCTCCGAAAGATGGACATCCTGCAGGAGGTGTTGTCTGACGCTCACACGCGCTCGCTGGAGAAATACTCGGACATCGATCAAGAAGACGATTTCTGTGAGGTCGCAGAGGCTCCGGAGGTCCAGTGTGAGTGTTTCACCTCTTGTATAGACATGAAAATGACATGTTAAAGACAAATGATTGTCAATCTTCAATGCTTTGGGGCACAGATTTAAGCTTGGTGTCATTTTAATAGGTTGTAGATAGTAGCTGAAAAACATTCAAAAAGTTAAAACAAAGGTTATGTAATACTTAATCTTACAATTAGACGTTTCTTTGTGTATGTAAATACGTGAATAGTCATATGCATTTAACTAATTATTTTTATTTAAACAATTTGAGTTCCAAAACTGCACAGATGCTAAAATGATTGTTACAATATAATAATGAAATAATGTCTGAAATGGGAAACCCTAAACTGTTCAGTATAACGAAAGGTAATTGTAGCACGGGCGGTCTTGATTGCCATATTTGTGAAATTCAGTAGGTGGCGATAATGCTCCGGGAACACTTTAGAATAGCTATCCATTTTAACTAGTTAATAGTCCATTAATAAACTGTTAGTTATTGAGTAATACATGACTTGTTATATAAAAGGTAATACTTTGTTAATTTTTTTATAACTGTGCCTTTGTCACCGACTCGGTCCCAGTCATTCCCCTCGCTGGCCAGCAGAGGTCACCATCACCGGACTTCTAAACATTACGTCATGCTCATACACTGATTGCCACACACACCTGCAGCTCATCCCACTGACGATCCACACACACATATAAGCAGCACACACACTCACTCTGTTGCGAAGTCTTGTTCAGCCCTGCCTGACATTACTGAGCGTTATCTCCTTGCCTGATCTCCCATGTATTACCTGGACTGTTCTAGACCTTGCCTTGCCTGCCGACTGCCTCGCACCTTGCTTGTTACTTTGATCCACACCGCCTGCCCTGAACCCAACCTGATACCTCGCCTCTGAACCACGCCGCCTGCCTCTGACCCATGCCTGCTATTACACTCCTTGACAGTCAGCTGCCAGTCCTTAGAGCCATTACAAATACGTTTGATGTGAGTTCGCACGTAAGTGCGTATTGTGATTAAGTGAAGTTTATTTATAAACAAATTTCGAGAGGATCACGTGCTTATGATTGTTCACTGCTGTTCCAACTTTAGCTAATGACTGATTATCCAATCAGACGATCCTTAACTCAGTACAAATAACCAGACTTTTCTCATCTCAATATCTTCGTCTTGAAGAAACCCCCCCACCCAACCCTACTTTCCCTCCTTTCAAACTGGCGTCACGGTGGCCAGCGATTAGCGCTGTTGCCTCACAGCAAGAATGCCCCTGGTTTAATTCCTTTCCAAACCAGACGGCATTTCTGTGTGGAGTTTGCTCGTTCTCCCCGTGGTCGCGTGGGTTTTCCCAGGGTCCTCCAGTTTCCTCCCACAGTTCAAAAACAAGCACCCTAAACAATTAATCCAAATACTTTAGCTAAACTCTGAGTACACCTTTCAGCATACTTATCTGACACTTAGTAAGTAATTTACTAACAGCTTGTTCATGATCTATTAATAATTTATTAGGTATAGTTATAAATCATTAAAATACAGTTAACAAATAATTTTAACTTGTTAACTAACAGCTTGTAAGGTATCTATTGGCTATCTATAAGGCACAGTTATAGATAATTAACAAACTATTAACTTTTAGTTAACAAGTCATTTATAACTCATATACTAACAGTTTATTAATGGACTATTAACTAGTTATAACGGATAGTTATTCTAAAGTGTTACCAATGCTCCAAAGCAATTAGTTGTCATTAAACAAGAAAAAAAGTAGAAGACCGAGCCATCATTAACCATATATGGTTTGCCTAGATCGTGTGTGCTAGATTGTGTGTTGCCTGAAATGTGTGTGGGTCTGCAGCTGGATATATCTCCTATGTTTTGAGGAATATGAACAGTATATTTTCATACTTTTGACAATATTTGTGAAGTAGACATCAAAGTCTAAGATAGTATAGGCAGTTTAGTGGTATTTGATTTGATTTTAGCCTCTAAAAAAACATTTGAAAAAGTTGTACATGTGGATTGCTGTAGCAAAGTAATGCTTTACGAGTCTTGATGAGTATCCTTGTCGCAAATGAAAAAAATAATAGCTGCTCTGTAATATATACCAAAAATCAATCACCAGGTTTGGAAACTAGACATTTTAAGCTTTCAAATGATACCTACAGTTTGTTATGTCTGCTTTATGTTTAGACTACAATATTAGATAATACAATATATTAAAAATGTAACCATAACTTTAAATGTTAACTATAAGATGACTTTAATTTGTTTATATATTATTCATATTTCTTTTGTCATTAAATGTACATTTTGCATAATATACACAGTATATCTATCTACAGTTATTATTCATACCCCTGGCAATTTCTGGCTTAAAGTTTTTGTTCAAATGTAAATTAAAGCTGTTCAAAAGAGACCTGCTGGTTGAATAAAAGTAACTTTAAATGGCACCTTTTAGGGTTGGGCCATGTTGACCAATTTGGCATTGTACGATGTCTAATGTGAAACATTGCGATGGTTGTTAAATATCAATTAATTCATAACAAATTAATTAATTGTAGTCTACCGTTTTTACTACCTGACACACATGGTCTTTGCTTTACCCATAACCAAATCATAAATAAATAAAGTTACAAACAAATGACCCTCTGTCAATCACTTTTTTTCTGCGGGACTCTGGCATGAATAGGCAGTGATCTGTGTCGGTATAATGGCTTTTCCCACAGCTGGTGGAGGAGACAAGAGTTCGGTTGGAGTACACTGTGGTGCATACATTTTCATTGTCTTCACCGCAAAACCCTTACTGCGTGTGCTGATTTAGAAGACATTTATGCAGAATTCATCTTTGCATTTGTTTTGCACCTAAAAACGCCAAACGCAGTGCTCAGGAGCAGATTAAACAGTTGTTATGTGAACTTGCTAAAGTAAAAAGCCCGCAATGCTTGCCCCGCCTTTGTACTCTTCTTATTGGCCCACTGCTCTAACTGACCGCGAATGATTTGTTAATATCAGCTGTCAATCACTCAGTCAATGCCTTCTGCCTTCAGATGACAGGAACTACAAGTGTGAAAATGTGAAGCGCTGAAGATGAGAGAATGAAAATAACACTGACAGATTTACCTAAAGTTACTAATAATGGCACATCTTATTAGTGATCATGTGCTGAATGTTAATCCACCATTTACACTTTTCCAAGAGTGGATAAAAGACTTCCAGTGGCTTCAAATCCGCTATGAAAATAACTAAAGCCGTTCACTGTGAAGTCTGTGGGACGGGGTTTGCAGGTAACAGCGTTTGCCACTGAATCTACACATTTTAAGCGCGAGAGATACTGTATAATCCTTTATTTAATCCTCACCATGCTGTCAGCCGTGCAAGTGACAGCTGTATGTAACCTTTAACACAGCTCATGAAAAGACTGTTATTGCTATTAAGATGACATGCAAATAATAAGTTACATATCAATATAAATGATGGATCGCTATGCCGGCTCAGCATCATGAATTTTGTCGGCCATCGGCGATGGCATCGTCTATCGGCACAACCCTAGCACCTATTATGAAAATCAACCTTTGTAAGCTGTTTGGACAGAACTGTGTGTAGGTATAGCGTGTCCACAGTCATATTGGAGTGATAGAAACACAACAAGTCTCTTTTTTTTTATTTCCTGAGGTTAAAATAGGACCCAAATCCCAGTAACGTAGGAGTGTGGTTTTCTCCGCCCACCGAATTGAATGAAAGGCGCCATGTTTCTATAATAACATGTTTACACATGCCCACAGAACATTTTTTGCAAAGAAACTTGGATTAAAATATCTATTCAAACTCTCTGTATCTATTAAAACATATTTAAAACAGAGAATGTTTGTAGTAAAATCCCTGTAATTCTTAACCACTATATTAACCACGGCCACATGGTGTCAGTAAACGCTAATATGTGTGTGTTCACTGCAAACAGCATTTGTGTGTGACTCATCCTGTCAGAAAGTCTTGATTAAACTCCACCACAAATACATCAAACAAACTTGGTATTTTTGACTAATGAGCTGCATTTCAGCTTCATCAGAGTCTGTGTCCATCACTGACTGCTGTTTATCTGATGTAATGCATGATGAGAAGCAAACACAAGTAACTGTGCTTTCACACCGAAATCGGCGAGAGCGTCCAAGGTCCAAGGACAACGCCGTCTGCCTTCAGCTCTGGCGGCAAGAACGTAAAAATTCGTTACATTGATGTCGTATTTAAAGGGATCGTAAAAATGTTGCGCACTTCTTGTCAAATTCATTTAACAATGGAAGATCAAGTTGCACATGGTGTGGCTTTGCTCCACTTGATTATCCAATGTGTCCATATGTCTGAAATATCCTGAAGCAGCAAAACTGTTTTGTACCGTCCCATACGATTCCCTCTTCTTTAAAGAAAAATATAAATAACATTAATACACTTCAGTAACTCGCCAGTAACTTATTTACTGCATGTTCCTGTAAGAAAACATCGTAAATAATTGGAAATCCAGCGACCACAATAATCAAACTCTTGGGAACAACTTTGGTCGGAATCAAAGTTCACAGGTCTGTGTTCTCTGAACTCCTCTCAAGCGGTGGATGTCTTCATTCTGATTGGTTACCGCCGAACTGTGTCATAGCTCATTACCATAAAGTTAACTTGATTTCAACTCTCCTCGACACCCACACCGGCGAAGACACGCCACGCCGCTTATCGCCGCCGGCTCTCATTGAAAATGAATGACTTCCAGCTACTTTGACACTCTCGCCGCTTTCGGTGTGAACGTACCGTAAGAATGGTGGGCAGGGAGAAGCAGCTCATTTGCATTTAAAGGCACAGGCTATAAAAAACTGCTAAACTGTACTCAGACACTAAAACAATCAGATTCTGGAGGTGATAATAAATTATCTGATGGCTATTTTGAGTTGAAACTTTACAGACAAATTCAGGAGACACCAAAAGGCTTATCTTACATCTTGTAAAAGGGGTATAAACCCTTTAAGCCAGAATTTGCCAGCGGTATGAATAATTTTAGTAACTAAATATGTAAACACAGCCGTAAATCCTAAACCTGTGCTGTTTCTCCTACAGCTCACACACAGCAGAAGCCTGATATCAAAGCTCCAGATTTCAGTGTGGTCAGAGTGACTGATATTTTCCACAGACTGGTAACACTCACATTCACACACACACTGGAACAAACCATTGATGTTTAATTATAATAGTGTTTAATATTCACCTGTGTGTGTGTGTGTGTGTGTGTGTGTGTGTGTGTGTGTGTGTGTGTGTGTGTGTGTGTGTGTGTGTGAAGGGTCCGCTCTCTGTGTTTTCTGCACGCAACCGCTGGACGAGGCGTCACGTGTGTTTGGTTCGAGGAGAGGCGGGGCTTGGGCTCACACTGCGAGGTGATTCGCCGGTTCTGGTTGCCGGAGTATTGCCAGGTGGATGTGCTGCGGTAAGAGATGCAGGATGTTTTAAATGTGTGTTTTTTTTTTAGGACTCGTCAGTTTTACCTGGGTGCATTAAAGTATAGTAAAGGATTACTTTTCATTTTAGATCATTTAATTTCAGTAACTTAATATGTAGTTGACTTAAATATTGTCAATTAAAAATCAACAGTCCAGTAACACCTTATAATAATGATGTATTATTTTGTTTAATTTGTTAAAATTCTGTTTGTTCACTAAATAATGCTATGTTTGTTATTAAATGGATTAAGTATTTTATATCAATCTAAAAGGCCCAGTTTGGCTTAAATGTAAAGAATTAAATGTTACATTTCTATTGTACATGCACTGGGATTTATGCAGATTTTTTTAAAGAAATTTAGCCACATAATTAAAATTAGAAAAGCAATCTAAATACAACTTTAATGATGCTAGTTGTGATTAATAGGCCCCGACAGAATGTCCTTTGCTATTTCTGCTGAGAATTTTGTGGATTTTATGTAAGGTTTATAATGCAAGTCCAATTAAAACCCCTTGTTAAGCAAACAAAGTTGCAGCAGGTCTTATTAACTTATTAATTGGATTGCATATAAATCCTCTTGACATTTGCACATTAGTCAATAATATCACTGAAATGAATATTATATATATATATAAGTAAATAAAAAGATTGAATCATGGGGTGTAGCTGTGTAACGGATCACAAATCACTCTCACTGTTCGGATCACATTACAGTTGAGTCACAGATCGGACCATTTTTTTAGATCTGCAAAAAGGGAAGGAGACAAATATAATTTGCTTTCCATGTATTGCAACACTAGCATACTGCAAGAGATGTTTTTAGTTTTAACAAACCTAACTTAGAACCTGTAATCTTAATAAAATTATAATACAAAAATGTATGCGTCAAAACTGTAAATGTATCCATTTAACATTATAATCTTGTACAACAATACATATTTATTTTTTAACTCATTGATTTAATGACACTCATAAAAACTTCATGTACAGTGCATCTGGAAAGTCTTGATAGCGTTTCACTTTTTCCACATTTGTTTATATTGCAGCCTTATTCCAAAATGGATTAAATTTATTTATTTCCTCAACATTCTACACACAATCCCCTATAATGACAATGTGAACAAAGAGTTTTTGAAATTGTTGCAAATTTATTAACAATAAAAAGCTGATAAATCACATGTACATCAGTATTCACAGCCTTTGCTCAATACTCTGTTGATGCACCTTTGGCAGCGATTACAGCCTCAAGTCTTTTTGTATATGATGCACAAGCTCTGCTCATCTGTCTTTGGGAATGTTTGGGCGTTCCTCTTTGCAGTACCTCTCAAGCTCTATCAGGTTGGATGGGAAGCGACAGTGTGCAGCCATTTTCAGATCTCTCCAGAGATGCTCAATAGGATTTAGGTCTTGTCTCTGGCTGGGCCACTCAAGGACATTCCCCGAGTTGTTGTGAAGCCACTCCATTGATATTTTGGCGGTGTGCTTTGAGTCATTGTCCTGCTCTAAGATGAACTGTCGCTCCAGTCTGAGGTCAAGAGCACTCTTGTGCAGGTCTTCATTCAGGATGTCTCTGTACATCGCTGCATTCATCTTTCCCTCTATCCTGACTAGTCTTCCAGTTCCTGCTGCTGAAACACATCCCCACAGCATGATGCCAACACCACCATGCTTCACTGAAGGGATGCTGTTAGCCTGGTGATGAGCGCTGCCTGCTGTTCTCCAAACGTAACGCCTGGCGTTCACTCCAAACAGTTCAGTTTGAGTCTGATCAGAGCAGAGAGTTTAGTTTCTGATGCTCTGAGAGTCCTTCAGATGCAAACTCCAGGCGGGGAGTGTCTTCCGTCTGGACGCTCTACCATACAGGCCTGATTGGTGGATTGCTGCACAGATGGTTGTCCTTCTGTAAGGTTCTCCTCTCTCCACAGAAGAACGCTGGAGCTCAGACAGAGTGACCATCGGGTTATTGATCACCTCCCTAACTAAGGCTCTTCTCCCCCGATCACTCAGCTTAGATGGCCGGCCAGCTCTAGAAAGAGTCCTGGTGGTTAAACATCTTCCTCTTACGGATGATGGAGGCCGCTGTGCTCAGTGGAACTTTCAGAGCGGCAGAAATGTTTCTGTAACCTTCCCCAGCCCTGTGCCCCAAGACAATCCTGTCTCGGAGATCTACAGACAATTGCTTTGTCTTCATGCTTGGTTTGTGCTTTGACATGCACTGTCAACCCTGAGCCCTTATATAGACAGGTGTATGCCTTTTCAAATCATGTCCAGTCAGATGAATTGAGCACAGGTGAACTCCAATGAAGCTGCTGAAACATCTCCAGAATGATCAGTGGAAACAGAATGAACCTGAGCTCAATTTAGAGCTTCACGGCAAAGGCTGTGAATACTGATGTACATGTGATTTATCAGCTTTTTACTTTTAATAAATTTGCAACAATTTCAAAAACTCTTTGTTCACGTTGTCATTATGGGGGATTGTGTGTAGAATGTTGAGGAAATCAATGAATTTAATCTATTTTGGAATAAGGCTGTAACATAAACAAATGTGAAGAAAGTGAATCGCTATCAACTGTATCGACTTTCCGCATGCACTGTATCATTACTACATGTGTCATTTGTGAAGAATTATTCAGTGACACATTTTAGATGGCTGGTTTTTGCCATCTATTGGTTAAACAATGTAATTGGCACAACTTCGGTTTTGAGCGTCAAGTTGCGTTAAATGTTAATCTGTACTGTAAACATCACTGTTTATACCTAAACTATAAACTGCTCACACTACTTCTGTTTTTTTGTTATTGTACCTTTTGTAACTTATTGAAAAGGGTAAAAACGGATCTTTCCGTCAGTTTTTCTTGATCAGCGCAGAATGACGGAGATAATTTATGTTGCGTAGGTGTTTGAATTGAGATCCCCATATTTTGATGATTAATTGTACAGCTTTACACTACATGCGTTGCTGAAAAAGCAGTGACAGAAAACACCTTTAATAACCTAAGAAAGCATGGAGGTGCCTTCACAATTTCTTCATCATCATTAAATTTTACAGGGAAGCCAAATTACTTTTGTGTGCAATTTAATTGATGCGGGAGGCGATCTTTCAGCGACCCATCCAAATTTAGGAGTAGTGTTTTAAAAAAGCTTTTAATATGCGGGTCGTGTGTGGGATGTGATCCAAAGTGTGTGTGTGTGTGTGTGTGTGTGTGTGTGTGTGTGTGTGTGTGTGTTTTAGGAGGGAGGGCTACGTGAGGGGGATTATATAGTGGCTGTGAACTCTGTGGACTGCAGATGGGCTGAACATGCAGAGGTGGTTCATGCGCTGAAGAGCTGTCCAGACAGAGGACTAGAGCTGGACATCATCACACTGCAGACACATGAGGTACACACACACCTGTAAAAAAAATTATGCACACAGATACAGGGACACTGGAGCGTTTTAAAGCTGCGATTCATCAGCGGATCACTCATATGTCAGCTTATAGACAAACCAGCTGACTGACAAGACTTCAAAATGCTCCAGTGTCCCTGAAACTGTGGTTAAACAGCTGTGAGTTTGGTGAACTGATGACCTTCACGGCCAATCGCAGTCATTTCTGTTGAGCGTGTGAACAAAATGGCCAATCAGCGCTGTTTAAGAACCCTTAACAGTGCTCAAATGTTAGGGGAAATGGATGTGTTTATGTTCAGTATTGTGCAGCCCTACTATGCATCTCAGTGAATACTGTTCCTGTAGGTGGAGAGGAGGATGAATCTGTCCCCCAGCGGAGAGCAGGATTATCAGTCGGGCAGTCAGAGGAGAGCAGGCCGTGAATACGGAGGATCTTCATCATCTGTGTGGGGCTGGAGTTGGAGAAACAGCGGCGTCAGTAAGAGACTCGGCAGCACCTTCAGTCTGTCCTTCAGCAACTCCAGAGAGAGTCAATCCATGCACTGAACACTACAGGGAAAGACAAGACTAAAGCATTATTTATAGGAGGAGTTCACTTCCACAATCACTGCTGTTCACCATTGACTTCCATAGTATTGTTTTTGCCTACTATGGAGGTCAGTAGCTATGTTTCCATCCAATTATTTTTAATGCACATTTTGGAATATAAAAGTTAAATTAAATTAAATTAAATTATAATATTAATTTAAAATGCTTAATGGACTTATTAAAGAGCCCCTATTATGCATTATAAAATGTCAGATTTTGGTTTTGGGGGTCTCCAATAACAGGCTGATTTGCATGCAAGGTCAAAAAACACTTTCATTGTCTTAAAATATGCATTTATTTTTACCTAAGTATCCCAGCGACTCTCATATGATTCGTTCAGCGATTTATTTGTTCGCAAAACCTCTTATTAGCGCAAAGCTAATCTGCGCTGATTGGTCCGATGACCCAGTCTTTTGTGATTGGTCGACTGCGTTCAGCATGAGATAGAGAGAATCGTCCACCACGGCTTATCAACATTGTTGAAGTAGTCAGAGAGCAGAGTGTATGTGTGAGCCCAATGCAGTGTAACACCAGCATACCCAGATAGCATACGAATGTGGGCCACTTTGGGCAGTTATGCGGCACTGGTGGTATTCCTTCGGCCCAGACAAAATGAATGGGAGCCTGAAGTGGCCCACCTGTACAATAGCAAAGGGGGAGGGCAAAGATTCAAATACACCTATATGGGCCATTTAAGGTGAAGATTTGGCACTTACGGCAAAATGCAATCTGAATGTGAGCCTAATGTGGCCCATGTGGAAAATAATTAATTTGGCCCAAATGATGGAGGACACATGTGGGCCACAGTTGGCAAAAATGCGGCATAGTCATTTAAGGGTAATCTGGGTCTAAACCTAAAGTGGCTCACATGTGTAGTTGCAAATGTGGCCCAGTTATCTTAAGACATGTGGGCCACTTTTGGCGAATATTAGGCATATTAAGTTCTGGCTATTGCGGCTGTGAGCCTAATGTGGCCCAGAGAAGATATGGCAAATGTGGCCCAGTTATTTTAAAACATTTGTGGGCCACTTTTGGCGAATTTTCGGCACAGTAAACTCTGACTAATGCAGCTGTTAGTTTACAGTGACACTTAGTAGACACTTAGTTTCACACCTACACTTTTGTTTCGTAACGTGTCTCGTTTGCCCAGTTAGCGTGGTTCGTTTGGCATATGTGAACAGGGCAATCGCGCTCTGTTCCGCGCCAAAGTAGTCGCTCCGAGATCACTTGAATGAGGTGGTCTCGGCTCGATTGAAAGGAACTCTGGAGCGGTTCGATTGCAGTGAGAAAGCGATCCGATCCGAGCGTGGTTATATCACAGTGTTTTATGGATATGTAATAGGCATACGGCTGTATGAAGAGAGAATTATGAGTAGGGCGGGAAGTTTCCCGAGTCTCCGGATGCCCGCAAACGAGTGATGATCTCCCGGTAATCTCGCGTCTCCCTCCCGGTCCTCAAATAGGCATTCTCACCCCTCCCCACCGCGTCTCTCCTCAGACATGTTGCGCGCGCACCCTGTCAATCACCAACAAACCACCACCTCTCCTGACAGCTGAGCTGGACGCTACAAAATAAACCCTGACACTCTGACCAATGTGAGGAGAGTTTACTCGCACGTAACTTGTTTTAGCTCTTTTGGCCCGTTTAGAAACTTTGCCGTGTGAAAGCGAACCGCTCCAAGAGCAAAGAGCAACAATGTAACATTTGTAATCTGTTTCAGAACAACTCAATCGATTCACAGGTGTGAAAGCACCCTAAAATAACCATTATGGAGAAAAGTGTTTGCTTTAGTTGGGCTCTTAACCCTGAACCTCTTAATATAAATTTTCTTTTGGGCTGCTGTGACTTTTAAGAACATTCCTTGAAAAGTTAATTCATTACAGCAAACAAGCCAAGTAAAAAAACGACAACAACAAAAAAACAATTAAATTAAGTGAGACACAACCTGTGAGGAAATAATATGAGATAATGATATGTGATGTTGCTATAGCATGAATTTTGCTAGCTGGGTATTGCTCTGTTCATAACCATGACACACATTCAGTATTAATCTACACAGCCGCAAAAGCTGAGCTATTTTGAAGCTTGACCGCCACACGTGTGTCGGAACAGCTGATGGTGGCCATAGCAATGACAAACAGCAGAGGAACGCGAGCCCACAAATGCATTTAAATCCGTAAACAAAGCGGCACGCATTGCGTTTTCAACGTAGTTTTAAACATGATATGAGAATATAAATAATTAACCAGATACAGTACAAGTGGTTACAAGTAACAAAACACAATAAAATACATAATTTTCAAGCTTGAGAAAACAAGGAGGCAACCATTTTAATCACACTTCAGGTTCTTACACTTGTGAAATGGAGGAAGAGACTGTACTGTAAAGTTCCTGTAAAGCACTGCAAAGTCCCACACATCAATATACTTTTCTGATCCTTCCGTTAACAAACGGCTGATGAATCCCATGTTGTAAGCGTGTAGATTGCTGAAGCACTCGTCAGAAAAATGACAGGAACACAGCACAAGGCTGGGGCTATAATGCTGAGGTATAAACCTCACCCACTGACTCTTCACAGCCTCATCTTTGGGTCGGGAAAATAACCCTGACTTTACCTCACACTTCAGAGCACAGTGTCTTCACAACATTATTCAGCCGGGATCTGCTACAGTGTACACTTCCTCCTTTTCTTTCTACATTGTTTGTGGGCGAGGCCGGGGGTTTCAATTTTCCTGGGTCTGCGCCTGACACAAATGGGCGGGGCTTGAGTTCTGTATCGGCATCACGGATTAAGACTTGTTACTGTGGAGATTCATTAAAACCACTATGAGTCGACTCTTTTATAAATGAATCAATAGTTTTAAACACTGTGTGTGCACTTTCATATTTAAGCCTTAGCTGGATATTTCACTTCACTTAGAGCTGTTACACACTACATGGAAGGTAATTTTCAAAAACATATAATAGGGGCTCTTTGATATGCACATTATTGTATTTAAAACGCATATTAAATACCTGCTGGAAACACATTTAGTGAGTAAAGTCTGCGTCTGAGCTTGATCAGTGGGCGTGCTGTGGTGTAGTTTTTGCCAGATGCTGATCAGATATTAATGTGTGTTTGAGGGTGTTTGCGTCATTAGTGTTGGTTTGCAGCTCTTCATGTTTCTAACTTTTCATTGTTGCAGATCTAAAATGCTTTAAAGTGCTTCATTATTTTTTTTCTATTATTATTTACATTTACATTTAGTCATTTAGCAGACGCTTTTATCCAAAGCGACTTACAAATGAAGACAAGGAAGCAATTTACACAACTATAAGAGCAATACTGAATGTGCTGTAGGCAAGTTTCAGGTGTGTAAAGTGTAAGAAGCAAAGCATTAGTAATATTTTTTTCTTTGTAGTAGTTAGCGGTAGAACCAGAGAGGCAATTGCAGATTAGGAAGTGTAGTGGAGACTAAATAGTTGAGTTTTTAGTGGTTTCTTGAAGACAGCGAGTGACTCTGCCGTTCTGATGCAGTTAGGGAGTTCATTCCACCAGCTGGGCAGATTGAATGCGAGAGTTCGGGAAAGTGATTTCTTCCCTCTTTGGGATGGAACCACGAGGCGACGTTCATTCACAGAACGCAAGTTTCTGGAGGGCACATAAAGTGAGAGCAGATAAGAAGGAGCAAAGCCAGAGGTCGCTTTGTAAGCAAACATCAGAGCTTTGAATTTGATGCGAGCAGCAACTGGCAGCCAGTGCAAACGGATGAGCAGCGGAGTGACATGTGCTTTTTTAGGTTCATTAAAGACCACTCAAGCTGCTGCGTTCTGAAGCAGCTGAAGAGGTTTGATAGAGTTAGCTGGGAGGCAGGCTAGTAGAGAGTTGCAATAGTCCAGTCTGGAGAGAACAAGAGCTTAAAACAAGGAGTTGAGCTATTATTCCCTCCAGAACTGTCTTGAGCGTCTGTCTGCACTCCCGTCTCACGCCTCCAAAAGCCACCGCATTCACCACATTCAATTTCGTCTTCTGAGGCGCAACTCATTTATTAGAGAACAAACACCACAGTGGTTTCTAAAACTACACTTCTCTGACTAATGCTGTATCTGCTCCAGTTTATCAGGAAGTGTTGATTTTGTTCTTTCACTCATTGGATGGAAACGCTGCTTTATTCACTTATGTTTTATGGGATATTCCAATTTTGCACATAAATCTAATTCACATCTTTGGATGAAAACATAGCTAGGTGGTAACCATCAGCTGTTTAGATACCAGTGATTCGTCAAATTATCATCTTTGGTGTTCAGGAGAAGAAAGAAACTCATGCAGTTTTGGATTCAATGGAAGGTGAGTGACACAGTTTTGATAATGGAAGGATGAACTACTTCTTTAACTCAATCAGTAGAGCACAATTATTAGATACGATTATGATTTAGAAGCTGAACAAAAATATAGCTGGTGTAGATTGAGATCCTTGCACAATTCAGAAGACCTGCCACGTGATTTTTATAAGTTCTTTAGCACTGTATCACTGACTTTCAGTCCAATTTTGTTCATAAACATAGCCTTATTCGGATGGCAAATGTTTCTCACATGGGGTAATTGTTTCTCACCATTCGGAGAAGATAGGTTTGTGATTTTATTTCAGTCCAAATCCAAAATTTTAAATCATCTGCATGAAAATTCTTGGCTGAATAACCTACTATTTTGACAAACACAGAGGTTGTGTGGTGATTTACATTACATTTATTCATTATTATTATTTATTTATTAGCTGACGCTGTTATCTAAAGAAACTTACAATTGAGGATAAATCAATATATGGATGTTAGGACAAGACTAAGTTAGTTTAGCAGACACACACACACACACACACACACACACACACACACACACACACACACACACACACACACACACACATTTGTTGTATATTGTTATTATCTTTGTTAGATGTTATACTTTATATGTTTTTTAAGAAGATTTGGAGCTTGAGTCTGTAATAAAGTTTATACATGGACATTGAAGGAGATATATGTATACAGCAGTGAGGGCAAGATTATTCGCCCTCCTTTGCAATATTTTTTTTTCTCATGTGATATTTAAAGATTTAAGGAAAAT